AAATCCCCCAATTTTAGGTTGAAATCCCCAATTTTGGGTTTAAATTCCCCAATTTTGGGATAAAATCCCCCAATTTTAGGTTGAAATCCCCCAATTTCCTGTTTAAATCCCCCAATTTTGTGATGAAATCCCCCAATTTTAGGTTGAAATCCCCAATTTTGGGTTTAAATCCCCCAGTTTCGGGTTGAAATCCCCCAATTTTGGGGTCAAATCTCCCCATTCCCTGTTTAAATCCCCCAGTTTTGTGATAAAATCCCCCAGTTTTGGGTTGAAACCCCCGATTTTGGTTAAAATCCCCGTTTTTATCCCGTTTTTAGGATGATTGTGGGGCTGCTGGCCGGGCTGCTGCTGGGCAGGGCCGGCTACTACGTGGCCTTGAGCTGGTGCTGCTTCAGCATCTTCATCTTCATGGTGAGTTTTGGGGGTTTTGGGGATTTTTGGGGAATTTTGGGGATTTTTTAGGATTTTTGGGTCTTTGGGATTCATTAAATTCCCAGGAATTTGCTCTGAATTTCCAGGAATTCACCAAAATTTCAATTTTTCAGTGATGCTCGGGGAGGATTTTTGCTTTGTTCTCTGACTTTTGTTGGCGGAATTCCCAGGAATTTGCTCTGAATTTCCAGGAATTCACCAAAATGTCATCTTTTCAGTGATGCTCGGGGAGGATTTTTGCTTTGTTCTCTGATTTTTGGAGGAGGTTTTTTGGCTTTTTTGGGTTTTTAGGGCCTGACGGTTCGATCCCAAAGTTCCAAATCCCAAATTTTCCCCAATTTTCCCAAATTTCCCCCAAATCTGGACACAGAGGCTGAAGCTGCTCTCGGGTGCCTCAGCCAAGGGGGATTTGGGCCTGATTTTGGGTCTCTTTAATGGGATTTTTATGTGCATTTTGGCCTGTTTTTTGAGCTTTTTTTTGGTTCTTTTTTGTTTTTAACCCCAAATTTTCCCTTTTCCCCCCAGATCCGGACTCTGAGGCTGACGCTGCTCTCGGAGGCGGCGGCTGAGGGGGATTTGGGGCTGATTTTGGGGCTTTTTCATGGGATTTTAATGTAATTTTTGGGGGTTTTTTTTGGTTTTCTGGGTTTTTTGGTGGTTTTTTTTTTTTTTTTTTTTTTGTTTTTAACCCCAAATTTTCCCTTTTCCCCCCAGATCCAGACTCTGAGGCTGAAGCTGCTCTCAGAGGCAGCGGCTGAGGGGGATTTGGGCTGGATTTTGGCTCCTTTTCATGAGATTTTTTTGGGAATTTTGGCCTTTTTTTGAGGTTTTTTTGTGTTTTCTTGGTTTTAAATCCCAAATTTTCCCTTTTTCCCCCCAGATCCGGACTCTGAGGCTGAAGCTGCTGTTGGAGGCGGCAGCCGAGGGGGTTTTGGGGCTGATTTTGGGAGTTTCTCATGGGATTTTAATGTAATTTTTGGGGTTTTTTTGTGGTTTTTTACCTTTGTTTTTTTTTTTTTGTTTGTTTTTAACCCCAAATTTTCCCTTTTTCCCCCAGATCCGGACTCTGAGGCTGAAGCTGCTCTCGGAGGCGGCGGCCGAGGGGGTTTTGGGGCTGATTTTGGGGCTTTTTCATGGGATTTTTTTGGGCTTTTTGAGCTTTTTTTGCTTTTTTTTGTTTTTAACCCCAAATTTTCCCTTTTTCCCCCCAGATCCGGACGCTGAGGCTGAAGCTGCTCTCGGAGGCGGCGGCCGAGGGGGTTTTGGTGCGGGGGGCCAAGAACCAGCTGCGCATGTACCTGACCATGGCCATCGCCGCCGCCCAGCCCCTCTTCATGTACTGGCTCACCTTCCACCTGCTCAGGTGAGCCCAGCCCTGCCCGAATTCCAGAAAAAATCCTGGAATTCCTGGGAAAAAATCCAGCCGTTCTCCCAAAAAAATCCCCTGGTTTTTGGGGGTTTCAATAAACGGAATTTGAAGGAGTTTTGGTGGCTTTGCGTTGGTTTTTTGGGTGTTTATCCCAATTTTTGGGGGGTTGGATCCCCCTGAACACTCTGAGACTCCAAATTCCCTGGAAAAAAAACAGAATTCCAGAAAAAATCCTGGAATTTCCAGGAAAAAATCCACCATTTCTCCCAAAAAAATCCGGTGGTTTTTGGGGGTTTCAATTAACGGAATTTGAAGGAGTTTTGGTGTCTCTGCGTTGGTTTTTTGGGTGTTTATCCCAATTTTTGGAGGGTTGGATTTTTAGAAGATCCCCTGAACACCCTGAGACTCCAAATTCCCTGGAAAAAACCCAGAATTCCAGAAAAAATCCTGGAATTCCCAGGAAAAAATCCAGTGTTTCTCCCAAAAAAATCCCCTGGTTTTTGGTGGTTTCAATAAACGGAATTTGAAGGAGTTTTGGTGGCTTTGCGTTGGTTTTTTGGGTGTTTATCCCAATTTTTGGAGGGTTGGATTTTTAGAAGATCCCCTGAACACCCTGAGACTCCAAATTCCCTGGAAAAAACCCAGAATTCCAGAAAAAATCCTGGAATTCCCAGGAAAAAATCCAGTGTTTCTCCCAAAAAAATCCCCTGGTTTTTGGTGGTTTCAATAAACGGAATTTGAAGGAGTTTTGGTGGCTCTGCGTTGGTTTTTTGGGAATTTTGGGGGTTTAATCCAGATTTTCTGGGGTTTGGATATTGGGAAGATCCCCCTGAATTCCCAAATCCTGAAAAAATCCTGGAATTCCAGGGTTTTTCCCCCAAAAAATTCCTGTTATTTTTGGTGGTTTCAATAAACAGAATTTAAAGGAGTTTTGGTGTCTTTGTGTTGATTTTTGGGGGGAATTTTGGGAGGAATTTGAGGGTTTATCCCAATTTTTGGAGGGTTTGGATATGGGGGAGACCCCTCTGAACACCCTGAGACCCCAAATTAAAAAAAAAAAAATCCCAAAATTTCAGAGAATTCCCCCAAAAAATCCCATTGGGCCCTTAAAGCGCTACTAGGGGAGAGTCTGTGCTCCCAAATTTGGGGGAATTTGGGGAATTTTCAGGGATTTTTGGGGGTCTCACGCCAATTTTTGGGGGGCCTGGGGTCCCAAAATTCCACCTGAATCCAGGGAATTCCATGGGAGCTGCAGGAAAATCCAGAAACGTCGAATCCACGGATCCCAGGAACACCCAAAGAGCTTTTTTTTTTCCATTTTCCCCCCTATTTTTCCTATTTTTTCTCAATTTTCCCCCATTTTTTCCCCCTTTTTCCCCCATTTTTCCCATTTTCCCCCTTTTTTCCCCAATTTCCCCCTTTCCCCTCCCCTTTCCCTCCATTTCCCCCCTATTTTTTCCCAATTTTCCCCAAATTTTCCCCTAAAATTCTCTGGATTGTCTCCCCCAGCATTCCCAGAATTCCTCAAATCCCATTTTTCCTCTTTTTTCCCCATTTCCTCCCTTCCCTCCCTTTCCCCCCCCTTTTTTTCTTCCATTTTTCCCAATTTCCCCCATTTTTCCTCAATTTTCCCCCCATTTTTACCAATTTCCCCCATTTTTCCTCCATTTTTCCCAATTCCCCCATTT